TATGCTAAAAACTTGGCTGTACTTTTAAGAATTTGCAGTGTTGTTGGGAAATTTTTTTTTACACTTATGCCACTCTCCCCGGAGATTTTCCTCATCGTCCCTCTGAGTGTAAGCGGAGAATTTCCTCATGATTATTCAAATGCTTCTGGGGAATTTTTTTTCTACCCAGGATGTTTATATCCATAGGAAGCCAGAGCATGAGAGGTCGAGCGCGGGGAATATTTGAAAACTCTCCGCCTGCGAAGCACAGAAATATTGCACAATTTCCAAAAGATTGCTTTCCGCACTCCAAAGTTGCATATTTACATCTGTGTGGAGCCCTTTTTCGTGGTGCGCCCAGGGGAGGGCCGCTTTTGATGCAATATATAGTGTCTATCCTGAGCATGGAGGCTGAGAAGAGACTTTTGCCTCCACTTTTTCCGCAGCACCGGAACAGGAAACCCATAAATGGACGCTTTCTCTCCATCCACACAACTTCTTCCCTCAACCCCTCGAGCTTTCACTCTCGACAATGAGCCACACTCACACATGAGCTCCTCTTTTTTTCGGGGTAGAAACTCGTCGTCATTACGATATTGCCATGAAAATTGCCACTAACATTTATCTTGCCAGCCAGTGAATTTGGGCAATGAAACGCAGCACGATTCAACATCATTTTCAGCGTGTGCTGAGTTTGAAGATTTATAAATGTTGAGAGCATCAATTACAGTGTTTTTGGGGCGCGGGAAAAAGTGCAAACTTTTTCATTGCAACTCGCGCAACCCCTTCGTCAAAATCTGCAAGTTCTTCTCCACCGCCCCAGCATTCAAATTATTCATCCATACATGGGCTGTCTAGGAGGAATTTCAAATGCTTTTTTCACCACTGTGAACAACTCATCGTGCTGCGAAGGGCTGATCAGTGGCGTCGATGTAGTACACTGTTCACTAATGATCGCTGGGATCTACAGAAAAATAGCCAGATGTGTGAATTTAAGAAGAGACGCGGCTTAAAACATAAATAACAATTTCTTTTGGTTTAGTGACTTTCTCACAATTATACGATAAATCAAAATTATCCTAGTTGTGAGCCCCTCGGTTTGAAAGAGAGCTCTACTTTTTCCCGAGTGTTGTAGGCGTTCAGGAGAGTGAAATAAAAAGAGCGCACGGTGAACAAACCAACGAAAAAATATCACAAATGAATGACATGGGGTGGTCGAGAATATATTGTCTCGTGCTCCGGGAAAAAAATCACTGTCGGATATGCATTTGCGGGCGAATAATTTTTTCCTCCCCGCACACTTGAAGTCGTTCGGAGAGAGTCTGAAACGTTTTCTCAAATTGCCGCAGAATTTATGGTTGCTGACAAAAGACGACGAGTGTCGCAATAAAAAAGTTCTCAAGTAGTTGATTCATCATTTGTCGACGGCGCGTCGACTTTGTTGTGCTGCACTTTTGGTCAGGAGAGAAAATGAGGGTGCCATTGTGTCGTATAGGTGGGAAAGGCTGCGCACTCAAGATCGTAAATCGCGAGAAATATCATGAAGAATTTCACCACAGAGATTTCATTACCAAAAGTTGATCATCACAGCCAGCTATTTTCGACCCTCAGCCTTTCGTACAGCAACATTTTCGAAAGACATTGTCAATTTATAACTTCAACTCACAAAAATCGAAAACATTCTTTTATTTTTGAGTAGAAATCATTTGGCGATATTTCAAAAGTTTCGTCACCAGACAAAATTCACGTTCTGACAATTCTTTTCTACTACATTTTCTTGCCACTGAAGAAGCTCTCAAATGAACTTTTACCTCCTCTGAAATCCTCGACGGAGTGAATCTAAAGAATAGGTAAGAAATTGCTTAATTTGTGTAACATGAGGCCGAGGAAAAGTTGGTTTGTGTAGACTGAAATGGGTGGGAAAATCAGGAAATAAAAAGGATAATCATCAAAAATTGCTTCTCAGCGCGTCCACGATAAAAATAACCCAAAAGTGGAAAAAGAAAATGCTCAAGTTGGCAAAGTTTCAACATGAGAAAATTTCATTTAATTAATCATAAACAACTTTCCCTCATTCCTGCCTGTAATCTTCACCCACACCCACAAATTGAGATTCATTCTCATCTCCAGGCAAAGTGAGCTTTTTAGGCTCTCGACCAGAGAGAAAGAGAAAGAGAGCGAAAAAGTTGCTGGTGAGAAGTTCGGAGAAAAATAACAACGTGATTTTATCGTGATTGATGAGTTGCAAAGTGGTTTGTCATCAGTTTTGGTGGTTTTGATGGGGACTGAGATTTCTTTTCATGCACCCTCCCAGAAATCCTCCTCCGACTCCCCAAAGCCAGAGACTTGAGTCTTGATAGTTTGGCACCGAAATCAAATATCCATATCGATTTTGCCATGGCTCGAGAGCAGCCACATCAATGCATTATGTATTTTAACGACGGGAAGGGGGGTGAATATCCAAAATTGGGTCCATTGAAGAATGTAAATGAATTAAAATCAATAGCAAAGGGCTTCACCCACCATTTAATAGCGCCATGAATTGCCATTAAAAATGCATATGGGGGCTATTATCGCGGCAATGACCCCTGAAACCATTTAATGATTGCCCCTTAAATATGCAAAAGCGCCCGGAGATGAGAAACTCCAACAATACAGGCCGCCTTTCGGGGAAACTCTAAATTCTCCCCATGCTTGGCTAGTGGGACCCATTTAAATTATTGTTTTCACACCTCTTTCGTGTTCACCTTGCCTTCCCTTGCGTGAGTCGCAACCTGGACAATGTCACAGTCAAATTAGAGGCTTGCACCTCACAACAAACCATCGTCGCACATTGCCTTTGAGGGCACACAAGCAATAATTCACAAAATGCCCGCAATAAAATCACTCTCAACCGCCCTCTCAACTCAACTTTAGTCCCGCCAATTCGAGCTTTTACTACTTTTCTTGGAAATTAACCATAAAAGAAAATCCTTAAATGGAATATAATTGTTTGGGTAGCTTTGAGCTTTTTTGCGACAAACACATAACAATCTGATTTATGGCATTTCTTTAACACCCCCGAAAGATGCAAAGTTTTTATAGTAATGCAAAGAAAAGTGATAGTTTGAGTCAGAAATGGGTCTAAAATCACAGGTGAGAAATTAGACGAAGTCACGCTAATGGGAGAATAAGAAAAGTTAATTGTATAATCTCATTTCCACATAAAGCTAGAAGATCCGCCCCTTTAGATGCCACACCCCGTTTTTTATTCATATTTGTTTTCCACACTTTTAGACAAAAACAAGTCTCAATGATTCCAATACTTTCAGTTGCTCGTTCATTGCTTTGGCATGAACTCACACTCCATTTCTTTTATTTTACATATGTATAATCTAAAAGCCCCTAAACATATAAAACAACCCTACCGATCCAACAGCTGCACAAAAGGTGGGCATAATGAAGAATTGACACACTAAAGCTCTGCTTTGAACATCGTATATCATTTTGTCAGTGAAAAATTAATAATACACCTCCAAGTCTTTGACCTTCTTTGCTCATTTTCACCCCATTCAACGCCACGATCGAGCGAGAGCGAGCTTTTGATTTATGAATGAACTAAATGCAACACGCAGAAAGCTTTCATGTTGCGCGCGCGCCTCTTCTTATTTCCACTGGTTACAAAACTCCCATGATAGGTCTAAAAAGGCCTTCCTCCTCCTCTATTTGTCTTCTTTCCGTGTTGGGGTTAATTAAATTTAAATAGTTGAATAATCGAATAACACGAAAATGTACGGCGCGTGTACTTAACAAGGCAAACTCAGACACTCGACACAATATATTTTATAAAATACCCACTCAGCCCCTCAATTTGCCACGAGTGAAACTTTTATACATTAGATAAATTTATCATAAGTGCGCATACACTCTTTTCATGGGGTGTATTATTGGTGGAGTGTAATGGGAAATCGTGCTTGAAATTATAAAGTTTTACACGAGTTCCTTTCACACAGGCTTTTGCTGAGGGCTTCTGGGAGTTCACAATAAATCATTGTCACATCAATTGAGACACCTTTTTCCCTCTGGTGTTTTACTGCACTAGCATTATGAGGAAACTTTGCAATATTGGACACTTTCGATGCTATTTCTTTTAAACTGCAAGAAAAAAACCCATTTTCAAAATAGAAAACTTCACTTCGCTATGAAAAATTCAAAATGAGAAACTTTGAAAGTACATTTATATAAGACTGCAAAATTAGCAAAATGTACCAACTATTTTCTTTGTTAGTCTCCGGCAAAGCAGAAAAAAAACCATGAAAAGCTGTTTGTGTATTGCTTTGATATAAAACAGACACTTTGATATTATATAATTCAATTAATTATCATACAATCTACAGTGTTTCCGAAGCAATACATGAACAACCGTGTTTCATTTCTCACTTGTCATATACTGCTTGGATGTACGATGATTTTTCACACATAATCCAATTAAATAATTATAGCAGATGTTCTTGAATTTCAAGTGTTTTTAGAGCAGTTATTAGCCTCTTAAAGCACTGGTCCACCAAAAAGCGCTAAATTGGATGGAGAAAAACAGAGACTCCCCATATTGTTGTGGGGAAAAGATTGGGGGTGAAATGGGAAAACTGCTGCTGATGGCGGTTTATATTATTGTGTCATATTTCATAAGAAAAATGTCGGTGGGTCGGGCACAGCTTGAAAAGTCTGGCAGCACACAGTGTCAAAATATAACAGCTTAGTCGCCTTCAAGGTTCATGAAGCACCCAAAAGGACGGAGAGAGATTGAGCTCACATGTTTCAGAAGTCCTTTGGCCATTAGAAAATCCTACATTCTCTCCCTCTCTCGCTCTCTCTTAACTTAGAAGCGCACACAAAAAAAATCAGGAATCATTCTCTACCCTGAGAGTACTGCGATCATTCCTTGGGAGCAGATGTTGGCCCACTTAGAGCTCTATTTATGGCCCTTAGATTGAGATTGAGTTTGCAAAGAGGGCCCCAAAGTCAATACTCTGCCTACTTACTTGATATATGCTCGTTATGAAAGGCCAACATTTGGTCAAATTCTCGTATCTCCTTGATTTTTTTTGTACAAACAGCTTCACCACAGATTTCACCGATCTCACAACTCGCGATTGTTTCGGGCACTTGACACTCACCTGAAAAGAGATGGAAAAGAAGATTAGCTCAAAGGTTAAATGGTGGAACATTAATCATAACACAGCCAAGAGGCCTGAAAGGTAAATATTTAACAGCCCCACAATTATTCCGTGTCACTCCAGAGAGAGAGGATAATTCTCTGACAAATGGTAGCCAAAACAACCATAATATGCATAATATTCACAACTGCTCATTATCATTCTTAAATGCTATATTGAATAGGTATTCACATTTATGGAATTCTTATTGAATTATTATCGAAAACTGACGATAATTCTATTCTATGATTGTGTTAAATATATCCCAAATTGATGATTTTTTTTGCTGTATTTCACTTAAATATATCAGTCGCTATAGTCAGTTACCGTCTCTGCGTTTTTGCGATGAGAAAATCAATTAATTTAGCGCTCAAACATATAAATTTGTGGAAATTTGACGATGTGTGAGCTTTTTGCGCTAGACACACTTGCAAGTCGTGCAACCACCAAGTTTCATCCATGAGACTGGGTTTTGTGCTGGACCGAGAGGCCTTTTTGCCCATCTTCTCGTGCTTTAGAGAGCCGGGTCAGACTGAGTGTAAACCCGAGCGAATTTGGTTACAGGCATGGGAAGTAACCCATTACACAGAGGCAAGCGAGAGAAGTAAAGTAATTAGTTTTAGATTTTGACCAGCAAAACACCATTTGAGAAAGTTTGTGTTGCACATAGTCATATTATTAGTGTGAAAGTCTTTCGGTGGAGATTCTCTCTTTTGCTCATATCGAAAGCAATTGTGGCTTCAAAGTTGGCTTACAACTACTGTAAATGTTGTTCTTATCGCTTTCAACTTGACATGAGATGAATTTTAATCTCGGGAAAATGACGATGGGTTTGGGGCGTGTGGGTTGGGGCAAAAAACGGCCTCTCCTCGGTATCTTTCGCCCCGGAGAGAGTCAACTTTGGATATAATTTGCATTTTGCCAGACACTCGAGGAGCGCCCAGGAACAAGTAACAGCGAGATGGTGGTTTTTCGGGAGGCGAAACAGAGGGAATGATTGATGGTGTCTTTCTTATATAAACTTAAGCACATAGATTTTAATATGTCTTCTCATGTGCATTATAAATGCAATGTACACAAAATGATTAATTTGCAAAGCTCACATTCACCTTTTCAACCCCACCCTCGCCACCCTCACGTAGATGGCAATTGTTCCTCATCTCAATCTATCATGCTCTGAGCCTGTGGCTGATGACAAAGAAAAAAAAGAACACTCCCCAGAAATTCATTAGCGTGCAAGACAAATTTCTCCCTTGATGAATTCTCACCAATTCAACTCCACGCTTTGGCGCTTTTTGATGAATAACACAACTCTGCGCAGCGCAAACATTTTTTGTATATTGAAAAATCACCGTGTTAATGCCAAACCATTAAACTTTTTACGTCACATATATACACACAAGCGCCTAAAAAGCTCCCCATTGTGCAACTAATTGGATCAATGTTTGTGAATTTTGATGAATTATCCGCGGAAAGGATCCATCATGCACAAATTTCGATATGGTGACTGGAGAAATTCCTTGTTTATTGATTAACGCAACACGGTTGAGTGATCCATCAATTTACAAATGCAACATCAACAAGAGAACCCAAACAGAGCGTTTATAATGTATTGATAAGAGAGATATCGCAGTGAAATTTTGTGCCATATTTCACAAAATTGAATAACAACACTGACACAGTTTGCTATTCATGGCTTAATGAAGGAAATATGCATAATTCTGTTATTCAGTAACACAACATTACCTTAGATAAGATGGAGTGAGAATGCGAAATTAGGAGCAATTCATGAGGAAGATCACCATTTTTCACCATTGTCTTTATACAATTTGTTTGCTCGGGGAAAATGTAACATGAGAACTCCTAGCGAATTTCCCACACCACACAGAAGCAGTATTATTTCGCCGAAAATTTATTAAATTCCGCTAAAATCGTTTCAATTCCAGAATAATACTGACTAACAATAACACTTTCAAAGACATAAAACTTCCCCAGCATTTGTGAAAATGATGCGTTGTGTCTTTAATGTGTGGCTGTAATTAAGAAATTGCGCTGCAATATATCCCTTATGAGGCGCTCAAATGTTACCCGAGATGCGTGAGGTCTCGGGGACACTAATCCCTTTCACATGTGCCCCGACGAAAGGTTAGATAAGTGCCATAAAATTAATTGCGAGCCTCGGCTTGAGCAACACTTTCACTCTGGGGCCTGCCACTTGAATAGTTTCGTGTTGAGATCAAAAGATACGACCGGAGACGATGCGAATAGTTTAGCTGTGGGTTTTGTCGAGGCAGATTCCCGGGACCAAAGTGATGCCTCGCATGGTAAAATTGAGCAATTTGTCCTGACCCCTTGTGTGATTAATCACCCTCAACCCCGAAGCAATGTCTTGCCGCCCACCGAACACTTTCATTCTCCGGTGGTTTCCAGCATTGGCCTCAAATTGCAAGAGAGTCGAAAATGTATCCCAAGTAAACATTCCTTCCACCACGATAATGACTTATAACCCTCCGGCCCATGGTATAGAGGTATCAAATGTCTTAAGTTGAAATTCAAGCTCAGGGGAGATTACATAGAATAGCAAAAGGATTACGCTGAGATGGGGAGGTGATTCATGCAACAACAAAGGCCACAGCGAAAGAATCCAGCCATGCTAAATATCTCTCTAAAGTCTAATGGGTCATTCCAGAAATTCGGAGCAACTAACACGACGTCACATCTTACTCTTCACACACTTTGGCCTCCTCGAATCTCCTCGTCAACCCTGGGATCTTCTTGATTATTATTCCACAGAATAGAGGGTAGTTTTCTGATGATTTCGCAGTGCAACAAGATTCAGCGGCTTTTGATGACAGAAGCACACAATATTTCCTCGTCTCCGGGCCACCCCCATCTCATGTTTATTCAAATAAGCACTGGGGGAAGTGCTTTCTTAACAAACGGCAAAGTCGTCCATCCGCACCGCCCCCGCACCGGGGCTGAATGCTTGTGTGACACAATGGCAGTTACACACAGCATGGTCAAATGAAAAATCCCCAAGAGAAGCGCGCCGACAAAATTTCAAAATAAATATGCAGATTAAAATGAGAAGAGGTTAGTAATCATCTTTAACATGACAATCACCCACCCTCACTGGAGGATGAACAGCGCAGCTCTTCGACGGAAAAACCATCAAGTGGAAAACATTGGCAAATTGGAAAAGTTTTCTTCACAAAAGTTAAATTAGGCTTGATGAGATTTTTATATGCTGCACCATATGCTCTGCAGACCCACGCCACAATCAATTATTTGCAATTCGAGAGAGAGAGAGAGAGAGACAGGACAAGAGCTAAACTTTTTTTCTTGTCTTCTTCGCCAGGAACTTTTAAAACAAATCACTAATTGATCTATTTATTTGCAAAATAACTATTATATTGATTGCATTTCATTATTTCTTGTGTTCTTTGTCTTCAATCTTGAAATGTGAGGCAGATTTTTCACTTTTCCGAACTATTTTGTACAAATTGAATAAATAAATTCTTACTCGGAATACTTAATCCTTATTTTTTTGTTCAAAAAACAACAAATTCCAGAAGCTGACAAAAACTGAATTTTCATCGGATATTAGTGTGAACATATGGTAATTATATATATGCAGACTTTGAATGGCGATAATTTAACCACTAATTGCAAAACTAATGGATGATATCTTTATAGACAATTCTGTGGTATCCAAGCTAAAGCCACATGAGAAAAAAGTATTGATTAACTTGCTCATAGCCAGAGTCTCTCTTTCACCATTCGAGAAGCCCTAATTGAAGTGAAATTCCGAGATTAATAGGATTGCCGTGGCATCAATGGCATAAAAGAATCCCGAACTTTGTTAATACGATCCGTGTGTATGTGTGTCTATGGAAGCGAAGAAACAGAGGATGATAATCCTGAATTTTCCTTCCATGCTTCGGAGGCTGCCTGATAAAAATGCTGCAAGTCATGGCGGCGACCCCTTGACCTTCAACCCCTCACATGAATGAGCCTTTGAGAGCGATAAGCAGTGAAAGCATTCTGGAGAGACAATCTTACAGTACAACAGCTCATCATCTGCAGTGCAGAGCTACAAAGAGATCGATTGAATGGAGGGCATGAACTTCGTATCAACACCCACTTAATGTGTTTGCCATCATCAGCAGTTGCAAATCTTCACTGTCAAAGGTTTCTGGAGAGGAAAAGATGCCGATGAATGCGAAAACCACTCGACATTCTAAGAGTATTTCCCTGGATAAATACACCATCCTCTCGGCGGGCTTCGAAAAATTGCCGATGATGGCAAATGAAGGAGTCGCTGATGCATTAGTTATGCATGAGATGAGAGTGAAATCAATGCCGTACCATATTTCACCACAGCATGTGATGATTTTCCCATACGTTGGCCAATAAGAATTTAGCTCTCCTAAAACTAATTTTTTGTCATAATATAATATAAATAGCAAAGCTGAAAAACAGTATGATAGTTTGAAAACAACATTCTAAAAAAATAAATAAAAACTCCAAAGTCCCACCTAATTGAATACTTCGCCCACTTATTCCTGATTCATTCTGTCTATCATTGATCCCGGCGGAACAAAGGAGATCGATTGTGTGTATGTCGAGATTCTGACAAGAGATTGCCAAAAATGGGGAGCTTTTGGGAAAATTCATCAATTACAATTGAATCGGAGAAGCTCATCAATTACCCTCAGACTGTCACGGAGACCAATTCCATTAATTTATCTCCACACTTCACTCAAAAACAGCCAAGAATACACATTCGCATGTCGCTCTTCGAGAGCCCCACTTATCGGGCCACCAGCCGACGATTTTCTCCATTGTTGTCACTGACCTCATACTCAATAATTGCTTCGCCCAGGGGTGAATCAATGCGGGAGTTTTAAGCCCCTATATGATCAACGCTGTACAAGGCCGAATTGATATCTTCCAGATTC